GTGACACACGCCTCAGCATCATTTCTCACGCTCACACGCTTCAGTTTGATTATCTCACGCATAAGCAGAAAGTTAGCTGAGAAGCTAAAATGTAGAGAAATAATGGTGATTGTAAAATGTTTGAACTAATTTCTTTTGGTATAAGCTATCAATAAACATCAGACTGTAAAACTCGTGTTTCCTTGTGTATTAAATGTTATCACTGTCGGACATTGCAATCAACACACTACTTCAGGATGTAACCTGATCGCATTTTTAATTGCTATTGCATCAAGCTATCCGATTATACGGCTTACGTTTGACGTACTTAGTAGGCGAGGCTATTACTCAGCCCCGCTAAATTATTTATTATGTAAAATCTAAATCGAGAAATTACTTCATGTTACAAATTTAGAATTCTGTGTAGTCATGCATAAAAGCGCGCAAATTTATACATTCAGTTATTTGCGCTACAGATGCAAAGTACTGTATATATAGAAAGTAAAAATCTCCAAAACTGATTTTCATGGCTGATGCAAGCGATTCGGTATCTGGTTTGGAAGATGAGTTCAATTCTCCCGAAAGCCCAGGTCCTTCAACATTAAGACAAAGTAGTAAATCGACCAGGAAAGACAGTGGAGCTGCAAAGTACAGATCCAAATTTAACACTCCTTGGAAAAAACAATACCCTTTCATCAACGAAGTAAGAACAGATAAACACAGCTTTTACTGTACAATCTGCAAGCGTAATGTAAAATGCGGTCACATGGGTCTTTCTGATGTACAATGACATGTTACAACATCAATGCACCAACAATATGCAAAAGACGCAAGATCGCAGACAACCCTTTCTTTTCATTTGTTATCAAGCCCTGTAACTGAAAAGGTAAATCTGTTTTTATTTAAGGATAAATTTATTCTTCCTTATAATATCTAGTAATTACCCGTTGTAAATAAAGTTTTTCCTTTTTTGTTGATGTACGTAGACCATGCGCGCTGAAGTTAAAGTTGCCACGATGCTCGTCCAGCACAACATCCCGCTTGCAGTCGCTGATGAACTTACACCACCTTTTCAAGATATTTTCTCTGACAGTGAAATCGCCAAGAACTATTCCTCTAGAAGAACAAAAACCGCTTGCATTATCAATGGTGCTGTTGCTAGCTATGCTAGCACTTTTAATCCTGCATTCTAACGCCCAAGAAGAGCGTATTTTCTCCATGGTTCGTAAAAACAAAACTGCGTTCCGGCCTAATCTTGATCCCAGGGGAACATTATCAAGCATCCTGACTATCAAACTTGCTAATGACGTGCCAGCCCATCAATTTGAGCCAACGAAAGAGCTTCTGAAGACAGCAAAATCTGCAACATGGAATTACAACAAAGAACACTCTAACAAATAGAATTTTGCTTGATAGATGCATGAAGATGCATGAAGATGCATAAACATATTGAGATATATGCGTATTCGTATACAACTATAAACTTAAATGTAACTGCTTTTAACTACAATATAATATTCCTAAATATATATAAATGATCTTTTAAAATTTTACTCTTGGAATTGTAGTTTTTGTTTTGACTAATCATGTTTTCACATGCATTATTACTAATACTTGTTAAACATTGTGCCTTAATTTAACACAAAATAAAATGTACCTCTGAAATATTGTTTTTGAGAACCAAAAATAACACCCAAATATGTTCTCAGAACGCTGGAAATGCGTTTCCGAGACCCAAATTTCAAAAATTTTCCGGGGGGGGGGGATGCCACCGGACACCCCTACGCTTGCTGCGGTAAGTTCATCTCACGCATGGACAAATCGAAACCTTGGCATCTATGATAATATCTACTATAGGGTGAGAAAAGGAATTAGGATCAATCATGTACAGTACTGTATTTTGAATTAGGCTGTTTCTTGGGTATCCAGTCAAAACGTCCCCAGGTTAAAACGTCCCCGAATCTGCAGTCAAAACGTCCCCAGGCCAAAAACCCCTAACTCTTGTGTTCAAATAAATTGAACTGCAACTAAATTATAAAAGAATAAACATGTTCATAGACAAAGAGTTACAACATGGGAGTATGCAACCTTGAATTAATTGCTTTGTTTGGCAACTTATTCGCAAATAATTGTAATAGTGCCAAGATTTCACAATGTTTTAGTTTTACTAAATTTAAGCCAACTGTCATGATGCATGCATACACTCACCAAATCACCAATATATGAAATTTAGCAAGGAAATTTAGGCACTAAACAACATATTCACCTAATAAAATCATAACTATCTGACCCTGGTTGAATATATCAAACCGTGGTTGATTTAGTTCCTTCATCAGATCAGAAGAAATCCAAAAATATTATATGTGAAAATAGTTTAAAATTACTCTAAAACTGACAGAATATCTGACATTTAGCCAACAGATTTGACTTTATTGTGATATTTTGACATGAGTTGGGGACGTTTTAACCTGGGGACGTTTTGACTGGAAAGCTTTTCTTTCATCAATTTGGTTGCATTATATAATTACATACCTCTGATCATAAACAAGAAAACGGTTAAGACTAAAAAACAAACGTTTTGCAGATTTGTTTAAGTATCATATAGTTTTGTTTTGTGCAAAACACAATGTAACATTATTTATTGATGCATATTTTTTAAATAAACAAAACTATATTTTACTGTTGCTATAAAATCTACAAAGAACTTAATTTATTTGTAGTTTTCTAGATGAAAAAGTACTCTTGTAAAATTCACATTTATTTTTATAATCATTTAGTGGACTAAAATGCATTATTCAGAACAGATTTATTTTCGCAGCCAACATTTTTTTTATTTCTTGTATTAACTATTAACATGTTATGCACTCCCAGTGCCTTGGGTTTACTGGGTTAAAGCCTGGTTTTCATATGTTGTAATTCATCGGCAATCATTGCCGAATCAACTTCCCGATGAGAGACTGTGGTTATCTGCGATTATCGCTGACAAACGCCGATAGTTTCTGCGCTTTTTGGCGCGAGTTTTTAATCTTGCAAGATGGCTGCCTTAACTGAAGGTTATTGCTCAAAAAGAAAATGCTATTGATTATTGCCCTTCTGCTAAAAAAAAAGAAAACTGCTGGAACGGAAAAAATATAAAAGAAAGAGGTTCTGGGTGAGGAAAATCTTTGAAAGAAGAGAGGAATTAAGACAATTTCACAGTTTAGTTAATGAACTTAATAATCTTAAGCAGTTTGCTTTCTTATTCTTGGCTTTGAAATCCTTTGATGCTTGGTTGTATATAGTAGGAAATTCTTGGAGTAATTCCGCAAATAACGCATCACTTTTTTGAATTTTCTGTATAGCAACTTCAGGTTCAGCTTCGTCCGCCATTTTGAAGTGAGATGATTTCTGGAGACTGGACTCTAATTTCTTGTCGCATTTCATTGCATTCCATCGGTTTTCGGTTTTCATTTACACAACAGTCGCAATTTGTTGGCGAACATCGGTGACAATCGGGAAAAAACAAATATTTTTGTTTTCTACGATGGTCGCCGATAGTCTGGGAACATCCCCGATTACCGGTTTTCATTAATCGTAACTCATCGCAATTCGTCCTATCTCATCCGGAAGTTGATTCGGCGATGATCACCGATGAATTACGACATATGAAAACCAGGCTTAAAGCAAACCTGTCGCTTATTTTCATAATGCAAAACTGCTGAACCCTGAATGGTTTATTTCTGAGTTTGAATTTAATGCTGTTGTTAACCTGTTTTGTAGTAACAGGTTGCACACATAGTTGTTGTCCTAGTTGAGTAGCATTTTCTTGTTTTTGGTATTTACAATTATCCACAATGCCAGACAATTTCATTGGCACGCAAGGCAAAAATGGCCTAATATGCTTTAATGTTATAATATTCAATCAAGACAGATTGGGTCATTCCAGAAAACATCCATCCCCCTATAAGAAATATTTTTTTCTAACTTTCCCTCCAGATGGCAGAAATTTCCTCTGTGGCAGGAGTGTGGATTTTTTCTGTAATGATTGCACTGTTGAGTATAGGCAGTCATGTATTGAAATGTATTTATGTAAATTTAAATCTTCAGTGCAAGGAACAAATATACTTCAATTATATTTAATATAAAAAAGACCTTTTTAGTTTACATCATTAACAATAATAACAGATCAATATTTAAATTAACAAATTTAATAACTTTCAAGACTTGTAAAACAACATGAAATAAAGAGATAAATTGACAAATTGCAGTTTAATTTGATTTAAATGGTATTTTTCACCAAATTGAAACTATAATTGAAATGCAACTTTATCACATGTACATGTTGCAATATTTCAATTCAATGATACATACTAAAATATTGAAAGTTGTCATACTTGCCCCTTTGTGTAAATCACTAATTGTGGGCTGAGATGCAATAAAGGCTCAAACATCTCAGCTACAATGCACAATTAGTGATTTACCATAGAAATAATAGATATAGAATGCCATCTGATGCTCGATTTAGGTGATTTATAGTTCAATGGTGTGACGCCGTACACGGAACAATTATGTCACACCATAGACAGCTCGAAAATTCCCATCATCCATTGCAGAAAAATGCTCCGCCGCCATCTTGGTTTTAAAAGTTTTCCAAAATTTTCAAAGTCACACAGATCGAATTTTACTCTATTTTTGGTTATGTCATGAGGCAAAACATTACTATTATAAAATACAAAGAAGGATAACATGGTAAGTGTAATATCATATTTAATGGTTGCTATTTGAATTATTATTATTTAAATATGCACATGTATCTGACTCAGGAGTCAGGAGTGTGAGTATTCAATTTAATAATTTATATTGTTAATGTATTTATTGAATCCCTTTACTTTGATAGGCATATGCAACCTCCTGCCATACTCTATACAGTCCCAACAAAGATATTCTTTTTGGGCATGAAAATGAAATTTTCAATCATATTTTTAATTATATACAGTCCCAACAAAGATATCCTTTTTGGGCATGAAAATGAAATTTTCAATCATATTTTTAATGAAATTTTCAATCATGAACTGGGGCTGGTCAAAAAGCAGGGCCTGACCATCAACTGATGCAGGATACATCATCACTAAGGACCCCAGACAAGCTCAAGAAGCCAAGCATGTCAAAATCATTGCAAAACAAAGTTGCCTATATATATGGGTCATAAGGGCCATCTCACCCATAAATCCCCCCCATAATCCCAAGCAAATCCATCCTTTTACTAAACAAAATAATACTTCTTTCTCTGGTTTTTATAGATCTCTGTGATATTACTTTAATTTACAACTTTGAAGATATGATTATCTGACAACATTGACCTCACATTGCGGAGTATTTTGTACATTCTATAAACTTTTTCTAATATTCGCACAAGAATGGATTGTATCATAATTAACAATCTGTGATTTAATAAATAATCATTTCCATCTTGTTTCATTTCTTGTTTTCTTTAATAGCCTGCAAGAAAAGATCTTCTTACAAAATCTAATATGTTAAGTTTGCAAATTTATTATATGATGTATATGCATGATATAATTCATGCCTGGCCTGGTAGAATTCCAAAAATGTAGGCCCCAGCCATCTAGTATGTGTTTATTTTTTTCATCAATGGAATTAATAAGAAAAGTATACTGAATGAGTTTAATAAAGAGGTTCAAACATGGGGATTTTTCTATGAAAGCTGGTTTTGCCTGGTTAGCATGACAGCTAGCCTGATAAGAGACATATCACTCTGTAGCTTTACACAAGAGCTAACTTGAAAAAGATTAAATCTTGGATACCAGGATAAGCATTCACTAATCAGGCTGGTCTGGTTGTCATGATGAACATTTATCCTTTTTATGAAACATGTTGATTTCAGTAGTAATATTGTAGATATTAGCAGACAGACATATTGGTTGGTTTTAAAAATGATAACTGAAAAACAACCTTGGACCACACACTTGGATTTCAAGCAAACTATATTTTTTGCACTCAAAGATTCCCCAGGCTTAATATGAAATAAAATTTAGGTTGTTCAGGAACAGTTCCGCTGTTCAACTTGGAATTGAGCAGTAGAGAAATAACCTCTATTTTGACCAAATTTGGCCAAAATATATAATACTCAGGTTTTTATTGAAAATAATCATGAAAACAAAATAGTGATGAGCTTGACACTGAAAAAAATGGTTAAAATTGTGTTTACATACTAGTTTTAAAGTATGGTTGAATTTAATTGAAAGGAACATGAAACATGTTGGTTTTGGTAGTAATATTGTAGATATTAGCAGACATACATCCTGATAGGTTTTATAAATGGTAAAAAATGTGAACTCGGATTTTAAGCAAATTATATTTTTTGCAAACTAACATACCCCCAGCCTTCATATGTAAGACAATTTAGCTTGTTCATGGACAGTTCTGCAGTACTTTTCAGCTGTTCCACATTAGATTGAGCTGCAGAGCAATTGTGACCAAATATGGCTAAAATATAAAACCTTCAGATTTTTGTTGAAAACATTGTGAAACAAATTATTTCTAGGCTGGAAGCTCAACAGAAATAGCTGATAATTGTGTTTACATATTTTAAAGTATAATATTTGAATTTAATTAAAAGGATAAATGTTGGGTTTGCAGTAATTGTCAATATTCACAGAAATACTGGTGGGTTTTAAAAATGGTGAAAAACGACCTTGGACCGTGCACTCCGATTTTAGGGACTGTTCATTATTTATTGTACAGCGGGAGACTGAGGAGAAACTCTACAGTTATAATATTTTTTCGTTGCCCCCCTCTTAAGACAAGTAAAATTTCCAAAGCCCCCCCCCCCAACAGGCAAAACAAGAACATAAATGTTGGTCCCCCTCTAGCTCTTTATCTTTATTTCTGAATACTCCGTAGAATATTTTAGACATAAATAACATCCGATTACTTCCGAATTCTACTGAACAAACACCAAATCCAAATATAAGCATTATGGTGAGATTGATCCGGTACCGTCTAAACAGGAAGCCAATGTGGACAAATATTTGTCCGGTACCATGTAAACGCAACAATCAGAACAAATTTCATCTGGACAAAAATTTGTCTGGGGCCATGTAAACGGAGCTTTGTTTGAGCCCTTAACTCATTAACTGGCAAGCTGTTACAATGTTACCACCCCCTAAAGTGGCAAGCAATATGGCGAATTCATGATTGAATTCCAAGCTTTCACCAAAATGCCAATATCTCAGAAACAATTGCATAAAAAAGTCTGATCTTTTCAACCAAACATGAATGATAAATGATTGACCATATTTAGTTTAGATGACCTTGCATACCTATATATATCATTAGTTTTTTCAGTCAGTATTTCTATATATAACTGAGTGACACTTCGTTTTCCATGTCACTCATCACCTAAAGGGGCAATATCTCCATAAATTTATATAAAAACCAAAAAAAAAATCATTTACTAAATTAATACATATCTATATTACAACCAATTTTCATCTTTTGGGATATGAATTATGAAATTATCAAAAAATTTAAAAATTACTTCTTTGCTTTTTTGGGGCGTCTTGTTTACAACATGAAATCTATAACAGTAACTAAGTGTTCAAGTTCAACAAAGTGTGCAAGCCAAAACGCAGTGTTTGTACATCTTTAAAGTTTTTTGATTGCTTCAAATATATTTAAAAAGACACATAGTGCTTAAACTTATTTATTTTAATATAAACAAAGGATGGGAAGGTGAGAAAATGGGAATTTTCTGAGGTGTTTTTAACACAGACAATGACAGCCGACATTTTGAAAGGCACTCTGCGGTGACAAAACTAAAAGCTATTCACTTCTGTACTCAAGGCACTGAAAAGCATCATAAAGAGAAAAACACTTTAAACACATGCCAGGTAAGACTTTTAGCTCAATATTTTCATGCTTCTATTGGGAAAACAACGGTTTAAAAGCCAAAATTATTTTGCGCGCCAATGTAGGCTGCTATAAAATGTCAGACAGGCGGTTTCTTTTGAAGTCTGACTCTGAAAAACAATCTCCTTTTTTGAGTTTGAAATAAGCCTTCATAAGGACTATTGTGTAGAAATGTTATCTATATCCTCACATGAAAAAGATACCTAATTTTCAGGTATTCCACATAGCTATAAAAGGGTGAAATAAGAACTTTCATCTTTGGTTGTTTGTCAGACGTGAGAAACCACATTAGTGCCATTTTGTTGCGCGTGCTATTTTATAAAATAAACACCTCAAAACCATAAACATTTAGTTCAGAAAATTACAAAGTTTCCCATAGACATTATTAAAAGTGTTCTAGTGAAGCGATTTCATGATAAATAAGTGAGCAATGGGCCCAAAAGAACTGCTAAGGTTAGTTT